TGGCAGTTTCAGCGAAACTGCTATGTTTACACTGAGGGTTAATAGAGCGTCTAGAGCCTCTAGTGGCTGTCTCATTGACAGCCGCTAGAGGCGCTTGCGTGCTTCTCACTGTGAAAATCACAGCGAGAAGACGCCAGTGTCCATCGGAAAGCATTGTAAATGCTTTCCTATGAACCGGCTGAATGCGCGCGCGGCATGCGCATTCAGCCGATGACGTCGCTAGGAAGGAGGAGGAAAGCTCCCTCCCGGCGCTGGAGAAAGGTAAGATTTTAACCCCTTCCTCTCCATCCAGCCAGGGGGGAGGAGGACCCTGAGGGTGGGGGCACCCTCTGGGCACTATAGTGCCAGGAAAACGAGTATGTTTCCTGGCACTATAGTGGTCCTTTAAATGTCAAAGTTCATAACAGTTCAATTCGAAACAGACTGAACAAGTATGGTTTGTTTGGAAGGTTTATCAGGAGAAAGCCTCTTCTCTCTAAAGAGAACATAGCAGCACAGCTTAGGTTTGCAAAATTGCATCAGAGCAAACCACATGACTTCTAGAAAAATGTCCTTTGGACATATGAGACCAAAGTGGAAATTTTGGGCTATAATGCACAGTACAACATTTGGTGAAAACACAACACAGCATATCAGCACAAACATCTAATATCTACTGTCAAGCACTGTAGCAGAGGGGTGATGATTTGTGCTTCTTTTGCAGCCACAGGACCTGGGAACCTTGCAGTCATTGATTTGATCATGAACACCCCTATATATCAAAGTATTCCAGAGTCAAATGTGAGGCCATCTGTCCGACAGCTAAAGCTTGGCCGAAATTGGGTCATGCAAGAGTATAAAGATCCCAAGCACACCAGCAAATCTACAACAGAATGGCTGAATAATTAAAGAATCAAGATGTTGCAATAGCCCAGTCAAAGTCCAGACCTCAACACAATTGAAATGCTGCGAGAGAGATCTGTGCATAAACAAATGCAAGCAAGCCTCAATGAACTGAAGAAAGGGTGTAAAGAAGAGTGGCCCAAAATTCCTCCACAACGATAAGAGAGATTGATAAAGTCATATAGAAAATGATTACTTCAAGTTATTTATTCTACAGGTTGTACTACAATCATAAGGTGTACTTTGTTTCTAACACATGGCTACTTAACTTTGGCTTTATTTTTGTTTAATAAATCACGATGCGCTCTAATATGTCATGTGTTGTTGTTCATCTGAGGTTGTATTTACCCAATTCTAATACCTGCTAAGGAACAGATAATTGTTATTATGTCCTGATTTATAAAGCTGTATAATTCATAAGAGGGTGCATGTTTTCCCCAATGACTGTATAGAGATTTATCTACAACTGTTTTTTATTAGAAACACCAAAATTAACCGAGTCAAATGATCCATTGTCATCATGTGAGTAAACTAGAAATTAGACAGGTGATGCAGCTGATCACAATTTGAAACAAATGTTATTTAATTTGGGAGAAATCCAAAAACTGCTCTAGCGGCCCTGGGAATTTCCTAACGAACCTCTCTGTCTCACAACTGAAGAGAGTAACTGCTGTAGATATGCTTTTGTCTTTAATTCTCACTCTGTTCAATCTTGACTCAAAGTACCCCAACTATCAAACACTAGATATGATTTAAAACAAATCAATTTTATATATATATATATATATATATATATATATTTATATATATATATATTTTTTTTTTATATCTTAAATCATCTTCTTGTGTAGATTAACTTAGCTAATGGACTTTGTCTGTATAAAAGAAATCAGTAGCCTGAAAAGTGTGACAGAGAAACAGACAATTTTTTGTTGGCAAGTTCCATTTTTTCTCTAAAAGTAAAAGATATGGAAGAATTAACTGGGGTGAGGGGTACAGTGGTGACAATAAAAGACGCACTTCATGGCTGCCACCTTCCTATAATGCCACGTGCTGTTCCCCATGATCCCACGTGGGTATGAGCACTATTAACATGTGCACATGAAATTAGTGGCCCATATTAATTTTAAAACATGATAAGTGTTTAAAATGCCTTTTACTAAACTCCAGCAGCACAGACTTTAAAAGACCACTATAGTGCCAGAAAAACATACTCGTTTTCCTGGCACTATAGTGCCCTGAGGGTGCCCCCACCCTCAGGGACCCCCTTCCGCCGGGCTCTGGGGAGAGGAAGGGGTTAAACGTACCTCTTTCTCCAGCGCCGGGCGGGGAGCTCTCCGCCTCTTCGGCTGAATGCGCATGCGCGGCAGGAGCTGCGCACGCATTCAGCCAGTCTCATAGGAAAGCATTCATAATGCTTTCCTATGGACGCTTGCGTCTTCTCACTGTGATTTTTCACAGTGAGAAGCACGCAAACGCCTCTAGCGGCTGTCAATGAGACAGCCACTAGAGGCTTTAGAGGCTGGATTAACCCATTTATAAACATAGCAGTTTCTCTGAAACTGCTATGTTTATAAAAAAAAAAAAAAAGGTTAACCCTAGCTGGACCAGGAACCCAGACCACTTCATTAAGCTGAAGTTAAGTGGTCTGGGTGCCTCTAGTGGTCCTTTAAGAGGGTGCAGAAGGCCCTCACTATACTAATTCCTCCTCTTTCTTTGATGCAAATTAACAGAATAATTGCACAGAAAATATAACCAAAAACAGTATTAGAAAATAAAAATGAAACGAATCCGGAATGGAAGCATACTGCAATTCCTGAGACCGACGCGGTAATTGAAGGCGAATCAAACTGAAAAGAAACAAAAAGACGTGAAAGACATCTCAAAATGTCCACAAACAAGCACTAATGGAAGAAAATCAAAAGATGCTGCTGGAGTTTGGTAAAGAGAGATGAATACAAAATACCTGACTCTGGTCATTATTACAATTAACATGACAGGTACACTGCATTAGCATAATCTACAATTTCACCAAATGCCAAGTAAATAAAATAATTTACCCGCACTGCATTGCTCACCCCAGTACGTGCTGCAAATTTGTTTTTTGGAGTGAGAGAATAAAGAACTGTCAACATTCTAGAAGCGACAGTTTCTCTTTGAGTAATATATTTAAATATATATACATAGAATAGGCTGATTCCTTGCTCTACACTGGGATTATTACAAAATATCTATAATTTCCATTTACACCAATCTGGACAAAACCTTTGCAGTGAAGAGGTTAATGGTCAATAAATTAGAACTAATGACATATCCAGACAGACATTCACAATAACAAACATGGTCTAAAGTAGGTTAATCAAATAATAATAAACAATTTGGTAACAGAATTCCAAATAAATAATTCGTCAAACTATCTGCCATTGGTCCCTGGTTTGTGATCTAATATGTTATATATTTTAAAAACTGCATTATTCTCTTGAAAGGTCTACCTTGTGTGTTGCAATTTATCATGTCTTGTTTTGATATGTGGAAATGTCTTTTTATATTTATCTGACAATCAAGGCACAAACAAAATAAAGAATGTTAAAAAAAATAAAAATAAAACTACAAATAAATTGTCCAAATAAAGAATAGCCACTAAGAAAATGTGTTAAAACTGCTGGAAGTCATTCTAAAATATTTGATATAACTAATTGCACAACACAACATTCTAATTTACTAAAAACAAAAATTAAAAAAAATGTAAAAATGAAAATTATACAGAGAGACTAATATTACTAAACATTACAGGTTATAGTCCAACTTTGACATATTACCCAACATTATACATGTTCTTGTTAGTTATTTCGATTTTGTGACATTACTCATTTACATTATGCCTAATAAATCCGTGTACTTTTTTTGTCCTTTCCTATTTTGACCACTGGCCATTGATCTGTGTAATGTAAGTACCTTTTACTGTTTAGAGTGGCTTCTTGTCCCCAGTTCTATTATTTACGATTATACACGAATACTCATCCTTCCCTGCCAGGCTCTCACGGTGACAGATTACCTCTGTCCCACTTCTCACAGTGCAGAGTCTAAGAACTGTCACCTGCACTAAACATGCGACAAGCATCACTCAGTAATGATTCCGCCGGAAACTGAACAAGTTCAACAAGGTTCCGCCAAGTTCATAGTTAAAAAACATTTTTGCTGTTAGGAGTTATTTTTAATGAGACCAGCAGAGCATAACACCTGCACTGCAAAAAAGTATCCATTAATACACAGTATATACAGTAAAGATATCCATCAATACACAGTATATACAGTAAATGAATCAATACACAGTATATACAGTATCCATCAATACACAGTATATACAGTAAATGAATCAATACACGGTATATGCAGTAACAGTATCCATCAATACACAGTATATACAGTATCCATCAATACACAGTATATACAGTAAATGAATCAATACACAATATATGCAGTAACAGTATCCATTAATACACAGTATATACAGTATCCATCAATACACAGTATATACAGTAAATGAATCAATACACAATATATGCAGTAACAGTATCCATTAATACACAGTATATACAGTATCCATCAATACACAGTATATACAGTATCCATCAATACACAGTATATACAGTAAATGAATCAATACACAATATATGCAGTAACAGTATCCATTAATACACAGTATATACAGTATCCATCAATACACAGTATATACAGTATCCATTAATACACAGTATATACAGTAAATGAATCAATACACAGTATATACAGTAACAGTATCCATTAATACACAGTATATACAGTATACTCTAACACTGTATGGCAACTACAGACTGCACCATGCCTGGGTCAAACTGTGATGCATACATTGTCATTAGGGGATGGGTGTGGGTGGAGTCCTGATGGTTCTGGAAGCCCAGGGGTTAAATTCCAATTAGAACGCTGGAGCTTATCAAAGAGAGAACCTCCCCCTCCCCCTCTCAGAACGTATGTTTCTTTAATTCTCGCAGTGATGGCAAGTTATATAAAGTTATTGAATGGCAGCATGGGTATAGTGACTTCCTGTCTAGAATACACTTCCTGTTTTAGTAGTTACCATGGAGATCAGCAACAGTTTCTTTTTTCCCCTTCACACCCGGATAGCGAGTATCAGCCCTGCCAGACCGAGAGGTACACAACCTGAGAGGGTTATTGGGTCTGGACTCAAGATTAATGAGATTTACATTTTATAATCATAGAATAGTATAGATACAGAATATGTGATGCTCGGCAATGCAAACTTAGGCGGAATTATTTGAATTAAGTGGAAAATAATATTTTCTCGTAGTATGACAGTTCTTTGGCATTCAGAATGCACTAATTATGTTGTGCACGTTACATACATTTGAGAGTTTATTCGTTATACCGAATTGAGTAAATTATAGTTAATTAAATCAAAATGACAAATTTTGAGACCAGAATTAAAAAACTCACCCCCCGCAGCTATATTCATAGCTTGGCTATTGTAAGACCACCAGGTGCTTGTTTGATGTTGCAAACAATAAATGGCAAACTTTAGAAGCCAAGGCAAAGTGGAATTTAATCTGAATATTTTAGCACCAGAACCATTACTGCCTAATTTAGTGCTTCTGGTGCATAGAGCCTGTCCCTGCACTTTCAGCAATGCAAGCAATGCCTCTCTGAGAAAAGACAGTGTGTACATTGCTTCCTAAGGACACTTATCATAGCTGTTATGCAGACAGTCACTAGACGCCAGAGGCGTAACTAGAAACCACAGGCCCCCCCCTCCCCATACATCTACCTCCTACCCAACACGTCCCTGACACACACACTCATATACACACACCCAGATATATACACACGTACACTCACACACATAGTGGGGGAGGCAAGCTATGGGGGTGACAGTGGGGGAGGCTGGCTGTGTGGGTAACTGTGGGGATGCAGGCTATGGGATAGGCAGGCTATGGGGGTGACAGTAGGGGAGGCAGTGATGGGTGGCTGTGTATGGGGATGACAATGGTGGGAGGCAGGCTATGGGGTTGATACTGGGGGAGGGAGGCTGTAAGGAGGCTGTCACGAACCTCCCCACACTCACATACCATTTTTAGTGGACTGGCTCTCTGGCCAAAGCATTGGCGTGGTTACCGGCAGCAATGCTCTGGGAGCTCTCAAGCCTTCCATTACATGGTCTGCAGCTAACACCCAGCAAAGCTGCAGACCACAGGCTCTCTCCTCCAGGGCAGACTGCTGGAGGGGCTGCGCACCTGGTGGCACACCGGGCATGCCGCTGGGCCCCCCTCCTGGTGTCTGGTCCTCACCGACAAATCTGTCTGATTAGAGCGCTACCTCATTGCATATCTATGCAGTAGAGGCGGCCCAGGGCGGCAAAACGCCGCCCCTGTTAAAGTGTCACCTGGGGCCATTGCCCCAGTCCGTCCTAAGGACGGGCCAGCCCTGCTTTGAGCTGGTGCATTTCTATGAGGAGATACTAATGAGTGCAGCTCAACAAATGCCACACGTGTTATATAGCACCACAACCCCTGATTTAGAGTCAGTGTCTGAAATGCAATGTTTTTAATCAAGACTACTGTGGGGCCTGCTGATAAAAACCAGATGACACATTCCATGTCACATGAACTGGAAACATTTAACCAGTTTTACAGTGCCTAATCAGTGATAATATGAAATACAATGTTTATATATTACAGTGGGTATTTTTGGAAGTATATACATATTTCTTCTTTCTCATATTCCAGACAAATGTGTGCATTGTTCTAGGGGAACGTATAAAGGAATGATGTGGAAATAAAAGAAAAACCAACACCTCCATTCTCCATTTTCCCTGTCGGCAGTTCTAACGAAACCAACAAAATGCCGGTGTACATTAGGAAAGGTCCCTTAGAAATTCCTCCAGGTTCTGAAAAAGACTGGTCTGTTGACGATGAGGATGATTATTTTCTTAAAGACCCAGACAAAGCCCTTGATTACTTACCACAGCCTTATCGCATGATTGACAGAGAGTTGGATCTGCTGATTGACCAAGCCTGGGAAATAATCACAATCAATGAACAGAACCGAGAGGCAGAAAAACTCAAGACGAAAATCCTCATCCATGAGCCAAATGCCGAAATTCATGTAATTAATCACTTAGACTTAAGTGGATCTGTCATGGTTTGATTTTGTTCCAGTTCCATTTTTTTTGGAGTTTTTCTTTAACCCCTTAAGGACACATGATATGTGTGACATGTCACGATTCCCTTTTATTCCAGAAGTTTGGTCCTTAAGGGGTTAAACTGAGACTTTTATTCACTTTGCAATCATTCTTCCATTTGGATATATTAGACTTTTAGAATCACTGATTTAACTTATGGGTTCATTTTGGAAAAGAAATGAGTCAAACTCAGATCACTATAGTTCCACTAGATATGACATGTAATGTTAACATTAGCCGTAATATTCAATGTTCGCTTCATTCAAACGCAGAAGGCTGCCAAATCTTCATGAAATCACATGAAACTAAATTAAAATTGTATGTTTTATTATTTAATCGGTTACTATAGTCACCAATATTACTATAGTTACTATATTATTTAATCGGTGACTATAGTCACCAAAACAACTTTAGCTTAATGAAGCCGTTTTTGTGTATAAATCATGCCCTGCAGTCTCACTGCTCAATTCCCTGCCATTTATAAGTTAAAGGGACACTGTAGGCACCCAGACCACTTCAGCTCATCGAAGTGTTCTGGGTGCAATGTTCCTTAACCCTGAGCATGTAATTATTGCAGTTTTATAAACTGCAATAATTACCTGCCAGGGTTAACTCCACCTCTAGTGGCTGTCTACCAGACAGCCACTAGAGGGACTTCCAGGCTCGAAGGTGACTTTTGATCGCCTAAATGAAGCAGGATGTCATCACACCCGTTATTAACCCCTTCTTCACCATGACAGAGGGGGAATCCATAGTGCCAGGAAAACAAGTTTGTTTTGTTATGCAGCCCTAGCCACACCTCCTTGCATGTGACTTACACAGCCTTACTAAACATTTCCTGTAAAATTATCTAATGTTTACACTTTATTGCAAATTCTGTTTAATTACATACAGGAGCAGGCAATAAGAAATTCTAAATTAAAGTTAAAATTACAGAGCAGGAGATAAACACTGTTAAAGTAAATTATATCAGATTAAAAATGAAACAATTTTGTTTTCATGCAGGTTATGTCATTCACAGCTAGGGGAGGTGTGACTAGGGCTAAATGGAAACAAAAGTGATTTAACTACTAAATGGCAGATAATTAAGCAGTGAGACTTCAGAGGCAAAAACTGCTTCATTCAGCTAAAGATTTTAGTGACAATAGTGTTCCTTTAACTAATTACTGAAATAAGTGGGATATGCTTTTGATTATGTTCAGATTTTACTGATCTAAGTTCAGAGTTACATTAAACACCAAACCAATTGGAATTATTGCAAAGTTTATGATGCAGAAACTACCGTGCACTCACTTGCAGCCCTAAGAATTACTTATAACTGCAGCAAATTTTAAGAATCATAAATATCCCCCAGGGCTGTCAATCAGGCTTCCCGAATTCTATATTCTGGGATCCCCATATTGGTTTTGTCTACATTGCATGTGCAATGTGTGTGATAGAAGAGAGCAGACACTCCTTGCTACCAACAGCCTGTATCACAAACTTGTGTATTGTATTCTGTAGTCATCAGTTAAAGAGAGAACTATCACATTCAAGAGTTAGTTGGGGATTATACGTTTTTTTTAAAAGTCTGTCCTGGTTTTTTTTTTTGGCTATTAATATTTTATCGCGGTATAATCATGCAGTGTACAAAAACAACAAAGAGATTGAATTCCCACATAAAATGAAAAGTGATAGGAGAGGTACACGAGGGAAACACCATTCTAGAGAAATAAGAAGTGTTTGAACATCAGACATTTTTAAAAGGACACTATAGTCACCCAGACCACTTCGTCTCATTGAAGTGACCAGGGTGCAATGTCCTTATCCCATGTAGTCCTGCAGTGTAAATCATTGCAGTTTTTGAGAAACTGCAATGATAACTTTGCAGGAATTAGACTGCCTCTAATGGCTGTCAATCAGACAGGCACTAGAGGCTCTTCCAGGATGCTAACGGACTCTAGGTTCCCTAAATCACAGTGAAATCCCCATAGGAAAGCATTAAGGTGTGGCAAGGGCTTCAAAGTGAATAACTGTCACAGTACCTTTTGTAGCCTAGATTGTTGAACAGCCTGGGGATGCTCATATGGTGGAGAGGGACACTTCTAATGGGTCCCTCTCCTCTTCTCAGCGGTTCCAGAATTGCTGGGGCATTAACCTAAACAGTTAGTAGAACACTAAAGTGTTAGGAATAGAAACATGGTCCTTTAAATATATATTTTTTAATGGCGAAAAATAAGAGCTTGTGAGCTTCAGTCTAGGTCCTTTTTTATTTCAGTTATTCATACATTTTTGCTTGTAATTACGTCTGGTTATCATATACATATATGCATCATATATTCTTATTTTCAATAGATGACCAGAAGGGTTAACTGCATTGCTTCTGGGAAATCGGGAACATATATATTCGTTGGCCTGTCTGAAGGAGTAGCTGTTTACAGAGTATCTGACTTGCACTGGATTTGTGGATGGGAAGAACCAAAAGTAGAGATCTGTAGTCTCGATGTTTGCCATGTGAAAAATGAAATGTATCTCATCGCCGCTGTGGATGACATGGGTGATTAATTTATCCAGTGATACTAAAAGAATGTTAAATAACTTAAGAAAACTATTTCTTTTTTCAGTTTGTTTTTAGTGTATGGTTGTTCTTTATGTCTTAGAGGTTTATTTCAACATTATAATTTTTTTGCTGCTCCAGGGATTGGACGCCTTTTGATTCTTGCAGAGGACAAGCTCAATCTTTTGAAAATCATCAATGTACCAGTGAGTAATTCTCTGTTGTTGTGTGCTCTATAATCACAATATACTCACAGTATATTTATACTTGTTTACTTCCACTGTTGTTAACCCTGCAGGAGGATTTAAGCAAGCGCACTAACTGTATACATTTTGAGATTGCTGAAGGAGGAGAATATGCTGGAGTTCTTCTGGAAGGTAATTTTGTTAGTTTTAAGTGGCCTGAGAACATTTAGGCCAAAATAGCCAATTTGTACAATAACCAGCTGAGAGCTGTAGCTATTTTGGCCTGAAATTTTAAATTCATTACAATTCTCTGTTTATCAAATAAACCATATTAAGTTATGCTCTCTGCATTAGAAAGCACTCTATGTGAATATGTACAGGCATACCCTGCTTTGCGTATGCCCTCACTTTATGTACTCTCGCGAGTACGGACATACCTGCGACTGTACGTAAAGTGCCTCGTGAGTGCGGACATTCCCACGCCTCTTCTGTCAGTGAGGGAAGAGGAAATGGAAGGTTCTATTCTCGCCCGGAGCAGCTCTGCAGTTTCAGGGCAGGCCTCTACCAACACACAAGGGTGACTCACTGACTATGTTTTAAAGTCACAGGCACATGTTTTTTTTTTTCTCTTGCTCATTTAACTCTGCAAGATATATGCCCGAAAAAAACCCAAAACAACAATTTCTAGTTTACGACTGTATCTAAAAAAGGGAGGGGTAGATGTTAAGATCTTGTCTTAATAGATAGGACTCAAGAGAAGAAACCATGCAAATTCTAGCATTTTAAAAGACAACAAATTGATGTTTTATTGAAATAAAACTCTATACAGTGTGAGTGTATTAGATTACTGTTACAAATTTAAAATCTATGGATTTAACCACTATAAAGCTTACATAGTGCCAAAATCAATACATCTCCATACGCAAACATTTGTAACCCTCCTAAAATGCCAGAAGACTTGCAGTACCTCACATGTCTTCTCCACAATGGCTTTCATGAGAGATCTGACCTATTGAAGACAAATCCCGTCAACAATTGTTCTTCATAAACCATGCTTAACAACCTGGCAAACTAACATTGTCAATCCATTGTTTATATCAGTTATGCCTGTAAATGACTATTGCAATGCAGTACATACATTAGGAAGTGAAAAAAGGTATTGCTTCACTTTAAATCCATTTTCATTTAACATACATGCTCTGGTCCCATTGTGTACTTAAAAGTGGGGTTCCATTATCAGGTTTTACCATTGTATATAATTTGAGGCCAACCAGAATAATAAAGATGCTGGCCACAAGAGGGCGATAGTAATCAGCAAAATACATTGGTCATCACTGTGTATCTAAGTGAACCATACAAGTTAAATTCTTATAAATTGAAATGAAAATACTATTGTGGGGCTTAAAGGGTTAGTCTAAGTACTATAATCTCTTCACTCTACATTAACGATACTGAAAAGGATAATTATGTTGGAATGCTGACATGAGACAGTCAGCATAGTTATAGAATTCTGTCTTGCCATATTTGTCTTTTACTTTCATTTTCCATAGTTGTATTGATAACGACATTCCATGTCTTCTCTGTCATTTTGCCTCTTACTATCTGTCTAAAAACTGTATACTCTTCTCTGCTGGTCTGCCAAACGTTTGCCCAAGCTTATTTTTCAAGGAATTCTTCCCAGCATGTTTGGGTATGCAGTATTCCGTCATCTTATAAAATGGGAAGTAAGGGTAAAGGGCAACTGCTCTCACTTCTTATTTTATAAGTTTATTACATTTAATGAAACGTAATGCTATATTTTTTCTGAATGATGTATATTGGATTTAAAAAAAAATATTTATTTTTAAATGTCATATTTTTATCTGGCTGAGCAGCCATGTTGGGTCAGATTCTACTATTATCGGACCAACTGCTGCTCATCCTAACTTGCTTGCTGTTGTGATTGCTCTGTGTGAGACTGCAGCACCATTTTCAGGGATTAGCCACAGATAGTCCATACCAGCAGAATATGGAGTTTGCCCTTGTTTCCTGCCACTGTTTACTAAGCCTGTATGAAGGTTGATCGTTGCTGACGTTATATAAATCATTGCCATTATTCCATTGTACTGCAGCAGCAATGCATTGGTGCTGTTGCTTACCCTGCATGGGTAAGAGTTTCTGCAGGGGTATGAATCACCGCTGCTGCTTCCTTTGCTTCTGTTGTCATTCAGATTGTTGCTATTGCAGCAGTTGTGTAGTTACTGCAAGGCCTGAAAGGCTGCTTCAGCAGTAGTTGAACAGATCAGGGCTACTCCTACAGATGTAGTCATATGGATAAGGGCTTCTACTGCTGCAGTGGTCAGGTGGATCAGAGCACCTGCTGCTTCTGTAAATAGAGAAATAGATCATTGCCCTTGCTGCTGCAGTTGTTATATCCTGCATTACAGATTGTTTGCTGCTGCTTCTGTTACACAGATCTTTGCTGTTGCTTTGTTTGTACTGCAGGGCCTTATATATGGATGGTCCTGCACAGCCTTTTACTGCCACTCAGACAAAGACTGTATTCAGATGGATCACAGCTGCTGCTGTAGTTGTAATGTAATGGAAAAGAGTCACTACTACAGCTGTAGCTGAACAGACCAGGGCTGTTACTGCAGATGTAGCTGAACAGACCAGGGCTGTTACTGCAGATGTAGCTGAACAGACCAGGGCTGTTACGGCAGGCGTAGCTGAACAGACCAGAGCTGTTACTGCAGGTTTAGCTGAACAGACCAGGGCTAAACCTGCAGGTGTAGCTAAACAGTCCAGGGCTGTTACTGCAGGTGTAGCTGAACAGACCAGGGCTGTTACTGCAGATGTAGCTGAACAGACCAGGGCTGTTACTGCAGATGTAGCTGAACAGACCAGGGCTGTTACTGCAGATGTAGCTGAACAGACCAGGGCTGTTACTGCAGGTGTAGCTGAACAGACCAGGGCTGTTACTGCAGGTGTAGCTGAACAGACCAGGGCTGTTACTGCAGGTGTAGCTGAACAGACCAGGGCTGTTACTGCAGGTGTAGCTGAACAGACCAGGGCTGTTACGGCAGGTGTAGCTGAACAGACCAGGGCTGTTACGGCAGGTGTAGCTGAACAGACCAGGGCTGTTACGGCAGGTGTAGCTGAACAGACCAGGGCTGTTACGGCAGGTGTAGCTGAACAGACCAGGGCTGTTACGGCAGGTGTAGCTGAACAGACCCGGGCTGTTACGGCAGGTGTAGCTGAACAGACCCGGGCTGTTACGGCAGGTGTAGCGGAACAGACCCGGGCTGTTACGGCAGGTGTAGCGGAACAGACCAGGGCTGTTACGGCAGGTGTAGCGGAACAGACCAGGGCTGTTGTGTAGCGAACAGACCAGGGCTGTAGCTGAACAGACCAGGGCTGTGTACGGCAGGTGTAGCTGAACAGACCAGGGCTGTTACGGCAGGTGTAGCTGAACAGACCAGGGCTGTTACGGCAGGTGTAGCTGAACAGGCCAGGGCTGATGCGGCAGGTGTGGCTGAACAGGCCAGGGCTGATACAGGTGTAGCTGAACAGACCAGGGCTGTTACGGCAGGTGTAGCTGAACAGACCCGGGCTGTTACGGCAGGTGTAGCTGAACAGACCCGGGCTGTTACGGCAGGTGTAGCGGAACAGACCCGGGCTGTTACGGCAGGTGTAGCGGAACAGACCCGGGCTGTTACGGCAGGTGTAGCGGAACAGACCCGGGCTGTTACGGCAGGTGTAGCGGAACAGACCCGGGCTGTTACGGCAGGTGTAGCGGAACAGACCAGGGCTGTTACGGCAGGTGTAGCGGAACAGACCAGGGCTGTTACGGCAGGTGTAGCGGAACAGACCAGGGCTGTTAGCGGACCAGGGCTGTAGCAGGTGTAGCTGAACAGACCAGGGCTGTTACGGCAGGTGTAGCTGAACAGACCAGGGCTGTTACGGCAGGTGTAGCTGAACAGACCAGGGCTGTTACGGCAGGTGTAGCTGAACAGACCAGGGCTGTTACGGCAGGTGTAGCTGAACAGACCAGGGCTGTTACGGCAGGTGTAGCTGAACAGACCAGGGCTGTTACGGCAGGTGTAGCGGAACAGACCAGGTATATGCAAGGGCTGTTACTGCAGTTGTATTAATATATGTCAGCGCTGTTACTGCATCTCTAGTGAATATTACTACTGCCACTGTTGCTGTCTTTTCCTATACTGCTGGTGCTACCATTGTCTTGCATAGCCTTTATTACTGGTGAAGCACTGCTGCTGCCCTCGCATGGATCACAGCTGCTACTGCCATTCAGGGGCATTACGAGTCTCAAATAATACCCAAAGTAAAATTCTTTGACCTCTCACAAATTTTCCAAAAATTCCATACCATAACCCGTTGGTTGGAAACCTTTGGCATTGCAAATGTTGTGGACTACATCTTACATCATGCTTAATGATTGCAGCCATAATGTTGGCAAAGCATCAGGGGAGATGTAGTCCACAACATCTGGAGTGGCAAAGGTTGAATACCCTTGCCTTAACCTATCTTTTGACTATTTTAAGCATGCCATAATTCCTATTTGCTGTGCCTGATTTTAATGCATGGTATGCACCCCTTAATCTAAAGTATTCTCCACCATCCTTTCATTATTCTACCATTTTTTGTCCATGTGCTTCTGGTCAATCCCGTCTCCCCATTCACTTAAAGGACCACTATAGTGCCAGGAAAACATACTCATTTTCCTGCCACTATAGTGCCCTGAGGGTGCCCCCACCCTCAGGGACCCCCTCCCACCCGGCTCTGGAAGGGGGAAAGGGGTTTAAACTTACCTTTTTCCAGCGCTGGGCGGAGAGCTCTCCTCTCCGCCTCCGATCCGATCCGCCCCGCAGGCTGAATGCGCACGCGCGGCAAGAGCTGCACGCTCATTCAGCCTGTCGCATAGGAAAGCATTTACAATGCTTTCCTATGGACGCTTGCGTGCTCTCACTGTGAAAATCACAGTGAGAAGCACGCAAGCGGCTCTAGTGGCTGTCAATGAGACAGCCACTAGAGGATTAGGGGGAAGGCTTAACCCATTCATAATTATAGCAGTTTCTCTGAAACTGCTATAATTATGAAAAAATGGGTTAACCCTAGAAGGACCTGGCACCCAGACCACTTCATTAAGCTGAAGTGGTCTGGGTGCCTAGAGTGGTCCTTTAACTTACCCTATCCCTCTGACATCTAGTCTCTGCCCTTATTTAATGCTCCCCATTCCCCTATGATGCTGCTTCTCTTCTTATTTAAAGGATACTCTAAATAGGTTTCTTATTTTGCATTGAAAGAGTTGTGACATGGTGCGTGTGTGACAATCATTGTAATATACCAACACTGTTTAGCAAAGAAATGCATTGAAACCAATTTTTCTGTATGAGAAGCACTCATTTCTGCTCAAGATGAGTGAGGCAGAAAACTTTCTGGTTGTCTGCTTGACAGCTGAGAGTTGTAACTAAGGGGATTTATAAGAATGCAAATTTTTCAGAACATGATGACACTGAATTCAGATTTAGGACATTGAAGCATTGTGTCTACATTACCTGAATAAATGGTATAGCATTCAGTGCTTCTTTTTGAGCGTATTGGATTGCTTGAAAGTTATGAAGCTTGATGACTTTGAGGTTGTTGGATGGGCTGTGGTCAAGAGTCTATCTCAGCACTGTAATTTAAAGTGTAATTTCTCTTTTCATTATTTTTTTTAATTAAAGGGGAGGCCCTAAATCTAAACAAATACCCAGGCATGGTGGACATCAGTTTTTTTTTTTTCCCTCTCAGTGTAGTTTTCCATGAATTGCCCTTCATCTGCTTTAACCACTTACCTGCTAACAGTTATGTACATTGTTGTTCACTTCTCTTGAAACAATAAAAGCTATGGCGAGAGCACATAAAATAGTGGATAAAACCAAACCGTGATAAAATATATAACAAACATGCAATTTACCATGTATCTGTGTATATCTTAAAAATATAAAACACAATACATAGTATAGCCTGTATAAAACAAACAAATAAATAATAGTGGAGGAGAAAAAATACCACTCATGTGGTGCTGTGCCGTTCACAAGTCTATAAGCGCCTTTTTGATATACAGGGAGTGCAGAATTATTAGGCAAATGAGTATTTTGACCACATCATCCTCTTTATGCATGTTGTCTTACTCCAAGCTGTATAGGCTCGAAAGCCTACTACCAATTAAGCATATTAGGTGATGTGCATCTCTGTAATGAGAAGGGGTGTGGTCTAATGACATCAACACCCTATATCAGGTGTGCATAATTATTAGGCAACTTCCTTTCCTTTGGCAAAATGGGTCAAAAGAAGGACTTGACAGGCTCAGAAAAGTCAAAAATAGTGAGATATCTTGAAGAGGGATGCAGCACTCTTAAAATTGCAAAGCTTCTGAAGCGTGATCATCGAACAATCAAGCGTTTCATTCAAAATAGTCCACAGGGTCGCAAGAAGCGTGTGGAAAAACCAAGGCCCAAAATAACTGCCCATGAACTGAGAAAAGTTAAGCGTGCAGCTGCCACGATGCCACTTGCCACCAGTTTGGCTATATTTCAGAGCTGCAACATCACTGGAGTGCCCAAAAGCACAAGGTGTGCAATACTCAGAGACATGGCCAAGGTAAGAAAGGCTGAAAGACGACCACCACTGAACAAGACACACAAGCTGAAGCGTCAAGACTGGGCCAAGAAATATCTCAAGACTGATTTTTCTAGGGTTTTATGGACTGATGAAATGAGAGTGAGTCTTGATGGGCCAGATGGATGGGCCTGTGGCTGGATTGGTAAAGGGCAGAGAGCTCCAGTCCGACTCAGACACCAGCAAGGTGGAGGTGGAGTACTGGTTTGGGCTGGTATCATCAAAGATGAGCTTGTAGGGCCTTTTCGGGTTGAGGATGGAGTCAAGCTCAACTCCCAGTCCTACTGCCAGTTCCTGGAAGACACCTTCTTCAAGCAGTGGTACAGGAAGAAGTCTGCATCCTTCAAGAAACACATGATTTTCATGCAGGACAATACTCCATCACACGCGTCCAAGTACTCCACAGCGTGGCTGGCAAGAAAGGGTATAAAGAAGAAAATCTAATGACATGGCCTCCTTGTTCACCTGATCTGAACCCCATTGAGAACCTGTGGTCCATCATCAAATGTGAGATTTACAAGGAGGGAAAACAGTACACCTCTGAACAGTGTCTGGGAGGCTGTGGTTGCTGCTGCACGCAATGTTGATGGTGAACAGATCAAAACACTGACAGAATCCATGGATGGCAGGCTTTTTGAGTGTCCTTGCAAAGAAAGGTGGCTATATTGGTCACTGATTTGTTTTTGTTTTGTTTTTGAATGTCAGAAATGTATATTTGTGAATATTGAGATGTTATATTGGTTTCACTGGTAATAATAAATAATTGAAATGGGTATATATTTGTTTTTTGTTAAGTTGCCTAATAATTATACACAGTAATAGTCACCTGCACACACAGATATCCCCCTAACATAGCTATAACTAAAAACAAACTAAAAAACTACTTCCAAAAATATTCAGCTTTGATATTAATGAGTTTTTTGGGTTCATTGAGAACATGGTTGTTGTTCAATAATAAAATTAATCCTCAAAAATACAACTTGCCTAATAATTCTGCACTCCCTGTATTTTAGATCAGATGCTGGAGCCCAACTGGAAGTGTTCTGTCAGGTCACTTTTTTCCCTTAATAGCCCAAATAGACGCCAAATGAAGGGGTAAATACAGGAACATATATCTTTAATGGTGAATAAATAATACAGCATATACTAAATCTCCATTAAAATAGTCAATTGCACTAACGCGTTTCGACGAAAAGTCTTTATCAAAGTGCATAACAATACCACACACTTGTTGGTTTAAATATCTTTAAAAAAGGCGCGATATCTTCCTCCGTTGTAGGACTTCCGATTTCTGGATGTGTCATTTCTGCCGGGAGCACTTACGGGTCAGCGGTCAATGCCTATCTACGTTAGATGACATACTTCCGGTTTCGGGTTTCTTCTTAGTAAAAGTTCATAATGCGCATGTGCGCTCGAGATTGTAAATAAACTTCCTTATTAGTCATATCTACAGAACCTTAAATGTTATACTTTTAATACAATAAAAGAGAAAATGTATCATATTAGGCTCATCAATGGCAAAAAAATAGAGATAAAAAACAAAAGATACACATAACAAATACAAAGCACAGAACATATATAAAGAAGAAAAAAAGAGAGGGGAAAAAAATACGTTAAATATGATTGGGTGGATAACAAGAAAATGAAATATCACAATATATATAAATATAAAATACACATAAAATATATATTAAAATATATGGGAAAAAAAGGAAAAATTATCCTAAAAAATACAAAATATTATAGAAAAGATCTTATAAAAAAGAGTTAATCTCAAAGTCCACATTTAGACCATCTGGAGTGAGGGTGTTGAGGTTGAACATTTTGCAATTGACTATTTTAACGGAGATTTCGTATATGCTTGGTGATTTTGAGCTATTAACTTCGATATTAGCCTTTTTTATATATATTATTTGTTCACTTCTCTGACACCTCTCATCACCTCTTTTTAATTTCTTATAAAAATGTTAAGGTACTCTGTTATCAGGAGCTGTGATATGACTAGACGTAATGCTATTAAGGTTATTCACTAAAGTGAGAATTCCCAGTGAATTTCAAATTTAAGTTCAAAATAGCCGAACTTGAAAAATTTTCTGTCACCTGTGCTCTCACTTCGGCTACATCTGGCCTTAAATTTAAAATTCACTGTGAATTCTCACTTTAGTAAATACCGTTGTAGGTTTTACTCTAGGTGCCTTAAAATTATTTTGTCTGTTCTCAGTTGCTTAGAACTTTTTCTCAACACAGGCAACCATGAATGTTGGTTGGAAATATACAGAATGCCCAAGGATTCCTGGTTGAAAGAACTTGAAAGCTCCCAGATATTGCCACCAACTGAAGCGCCATCATCAACTCCTACCTTGCCAGTGAGTTACCATATGCCTTGTCAAATGACATGAGCACAGTCTATATTCTTTTTTTATTATTTATGTAACCTGATGTGTGTGACGCATTATAACAGTGCATATCTTCCTGAATCACAATAATAAAATAGTTATGAATCTGTTAACGTATGTGGCTATCTGACTGAATTAAAGGGACACTTTAGGCACCCGGACCACTTCAGCTCATTGAAGTGGTCTGGGTGCAGTGGCCCTGTCCCCTTAACCCTGCTATTGTTGTTGTTATTATTGCAGTTATTGATAAACTGCAATAATTACCTTGCATGGTTAAGACTGCCTTTAGTGACTGTCAATCAGACAGCCACTAGAGACACTTCCTGCTTGATAAGTGACTTTTGGTCGCCTAAATGACTGGACGTCCTCACGATATGCATGAGGACATCCAGTGTCAGTCAAATCCCCATAGGAAAACATTGCAGCAGTGCTTTCCGATGCCGAGGGCCTAATGCTTTTGCCGTGTTCGCTGTGCATGTGCGTCAGGTGACGTCGAAAGGGGGTGGAGTGCCGGCCTGGCACCGAGGGAGATCTGCACTAGAATCGGGTACAAAAACCCTTGATTAACCATTATTGACCTTACACTGCGAGTGGGTTGAAAGGGAGATATAGTGCTTGGAATACAACTCATACGTCTATTAACCCTTACAATGCAGAGGGGGATGCGAGAGGAAGCTACAGTGCTAGGAATACAACTTTGTATTCCTAGCACTGTAGTATCCTTTTAAATGCTGAATTAACCTGACATTTGCATCATTTGGTTAATATTCCCAGTTTTTATTGTAAGTGAAATTCAGATATTTACTAAATACAGTCCAGGGGTGAAATTGGGGATTTGCACTAAATGTGCTGAATTAGAGACTACTCATGAAGTTAGAAAACTGACTTTTTGTTACTGTGGGGGCTATGTCAATCCCCGTACCTCATGCTGCAGTTAATTTATTATTTTATGTTATAATAATTATGCTAGATTTCTGTAACAAATTGAGATTACACCTTTTAGAACTTCTTCTCATTTGCTTATTCTCTCTTCATTTTGTATTAAAGTTCACACCACCGACTCTTACATTGAAGATTAAACCTCCTAAACCACTCACAGGTAATTAGAGAATTGGTGTGAAAATTTATTCAGTAAAACGTGATTTCATATGATTTAATTAAATTCTTTAATATTTCAATGACCAGATATATTATATAATAATATTCTATATTGCCGTCTATCTTTCTGTCAATCCACATATCCATCTGTAATATGTTTTTGTGTTTTTTCATCTGTTGTATAGTATAAAAAGGAAATGTTCATTAGTCACTGGTTTGTATCTGTCTCTGATCATACATGTATTGATTAAAGGGACACTAAAGGCACCCAGACCACTTCAGCTCATTAATGTGGTCTGGGTGCAGTGTCCCTGTCCGTTTAACCATGCAATTGTAATTATTTCAGTTATTGATCAACTGAAATACTTACATTGCAGGGTTAACTCCACCTCTAGTGACTGTCTACAAGAGGCGCTTCTGGGTCGCCTTTTGGCCGCCTAACTGATGCTGGACATCCTTATGCTATGCATGAGGATATGCAGCATCAGCTAAAACCCCCTATTGGAAAGCATTAATACAATTTTTTTAAATTTATTTATTTATTTATTTTTTTACAATAAATTCAATACTGTCCTACGGGGTTGTCCTAATGCGATTGTGGTGCTGGCCTCACATGCACATTATGTACCCGGCGTCAACCACATTAGGGGGGGTCATTTAGGTTACTATAGTGCTAGGAATACAATTTTATATTCCTAGCCTATAGTTTCCCTTTAACTATCATACATAAGCAAGTTGCCTGTTGAGATCTGTTACTTGATCACATGGTGACCTGAACATGCAGGAACTGAAGAGGGCTACTGGGCAAGGTCCTGCAAGGTAAAGAATGTAAGGATTACTCTAATAGTTATGATTAAGGAGTGCGCTACACCACTCATTTAAGCCCATTTAGAGTTTAGTGTTTAGAGGAAAACACTTCAAGCACTATAACCACAACCTCAGAGCAGACCAAATATTTATAGAATGATTTAACTTCTCATCTGGTTCTGCCAGGAACTGCTCCCCACCACTTGTACAGTAAAATGTCTGAATTGCCGAATTTCGGAATTATCTAACCGAATTACCGAAGTGCTGTATTTCGGAAGTGCCGAAGTGCTTCGGATTTCTGAAAAGTGACAAACAGGAGAGGGAGGGAATGATGACAGGAATCTAACCCTACCCCTACTAGGGGTAGGGCTAGGGTTAGTGGTAGAGTTAGGGGTAGGGTTTGGGTTAGTGGTAGGTTTAGGAGTTAGTGGTAGGGTTAGGGTGAGCGTTGAGAGTAGGGTTAATGGTAGGGTTAGGGATAGGGTTAGTAGTAAGGTTAGGGGTAGGGTTAGGAGTAGGGGTTAGGATTAGGGAATTGGCGATGTGCTGAATTGCCGAAGTCATGAATTTTGGAAGTGCCAAACCGAAACAAATTTTTTGTTTCAGCCTTCAGAGAGTCATGAGCTCTGTGTCTGAGCTAAGCCCAGAAATGCAGGGTTTAGCACTTTGGCTGAGAATGGCCAGCATTGCTGGGCTTAGCTCAGGATAGGTAATGGAAGCTGCTAAGCAGGAACTTCTGGCTCATCTGGCTGCTGAGAGGAGGTTAGATTTCAAACCATGTATGTGTACTGTAGCAGGGGTAGTCAACCTTTTAATACCTACCGCCCACTTCTGTATCTTTATTTATGGTAACATTTCCTTACTACCCACCAGTGCCCCAGTAACTAAATTTATAGTCAAAGTGCCATTTACATTTTTTTTTTTAAATATGTACTTAAATTTATCTATTTTTTTTTCCCCTTTTTTTCTTTTATTCCACTTTTTTTCTTTGTGTGTCTGTGAGGTGCTGTGTGTGTGTGTTTGTGTGTAAAGGGTGTACTGTGTGTGAGAGAGGCAGTGTGTGTGACGGGTGCTGTATGTGTGCAGTGTGGGGGGCCGTGTGAGTGTGAGGGGGCAGTCTGTGTGTGTGTGTGTGTGTGTGTGAAGGAAGTCTGTGTGTGTATTCGGGGTAAATAAAAACAGCTGGCAAAAGCTGCATTTCTCTTGTCTGCAACCTTTGCAATCCCTCCACTTCTAACCGCACCCAGATTTTCTGTGGCTGTCCAATCAGACATTCCAATACAGTTCAGTGAGGAATCTATGCAAGGCAGGTGCTCTGGGCAATTTCTGCCTCCTGAGTTTAGCTGCTCTGGGCTAAGCAACCTAGCAGTACCAGGACCAGTTGTCTGATTGAAAGCCGGGGGGGTTGTAGCAGTGTTAATTTATAAAAATGCCAATTTCTATTGAAATCTGTGCTTTTTGAAAAAGGAAAAAAGAGGTCAGACTCTTCACACAGAAAGCTTTTCAGCAAGCTAAAGTAATTTTTGTGACTGGAGTTATCCAATAACTTTAATTTCTGAGTGTAATTTTCTAGTGTGATCCTACTTCACCCATTAGCATGGGTTCATGTTCCTGAGAGAATATGTGACTGATCTAAAGACGGAACCAATAGGAGCTTCACACCAACCAAATGCCACATTGTCAAGACCACTGTAGTAACACACGTCTTAATACATCACACTGTGAGGTAGATTCATTTTCCACCAATAGTGCAAGCTTTCTGAGATTTTCTCATGAATTAAACCATTTGGAAAGTATTCTCCTAAGACAGCACAGCACATTAATAATTCAGGCTAGCCTATTCTAATAGATGTTGAAATATATTTGCTGATAAACTCATATGGAACTTAATGAGGTTGTCATGGTGATTAAATGGGGTCTAAGAGGACTTAATGGCTTATAAATAAAGTGAGTAAACATGGTGTCAGCCTATAGTATGCTTTATTAACAGACTGTGTCTTATTTCTGCGTATGAACCTGGTGAGAAAACTGCATTGTGAATAGAATAGAACATTAATGCACATTGGGGAATGTGTTCTCAGAACATTTGTCACACTGTAGTGAAGGAACACATACACAGTTATATTATGTTGTCTTTTAATTACGCCTCTCAATATATTAACTCCTATTTTTGCATATGCAGTTGTTTAATGTCTGATTCTTTTTGTGTAGTGTGTAAATAAACCAACGATTAGTAATCTAAATGAATCTTGTAATTAGACCTTGTATCTGCTTTAAAATGCATAGTGCTCTGAACAAGAACGGTTACAATTTGTCAGTCTATTTAACGCTTCCAAATCTTTCTAATCCATTCATCTTTGTGTTCTTATTTGAGAGTAAGGATCTTTTTTTGCTACACATCAATTTCAATATTTACTGCGTTTAAAAACACCATTCTAGACACAACCATTTGTGGTCTTTCTGGTAAGAATTCTTTCCAGTGTCCTGTGACCTTTCATATTAACAAGGTATCTCTGCAAGACAAGCAGGATGTTTTTGTAATTTACACTGATTTATAGTAACAGACTGTACAGGCTGACACTCCTTTTGCCCTTTACACTCATTTCACTAATTGGATCCATTTTAATCACTAAGACAACTCATTAAGTCGAATTTGGGATTCTCAGCAATTATAATAAAAACTGGGAATTAAAGTATAATATTGGCTTGATAATTGTTGCACCATTTATTATCTCAATTATCATTATAGCACCAGCTACATTGAAATATACAATTTTGTAATGACACGGGGTACTGCAGTGAACCCATACTCAAGGTTTAAATGTGATTTAGGGTTAAGGGAGACTTTGCGCTTTGGAAACTGAGTGTTAAGGGAAGTGGTTATGGAAACGGAGAGTTATGGGGTGCATGATATTTGCAAACAGTACCCTCTCATCGTGCAAGTGACAGTTGTGTTGGCAAAACACCTTGTTAATGAGAGAATTAAAATTACAGTGCAAAAGTGATTATCGAACTTGATGAGCTACCACAGCAAAATACAGCCTTACCGTAGATTTCATTTCTATCAACTAATATAATTAAGAGGGCATGTTAAAAAATATCATATACAATGAGGTAAATTCCATTGCCGTCAATAATGCAACTTTGGAAAAAAAGGGAATTGGGGACACAATCGGAACATGCATTTCTTAGCAATAGTGCTACCGTATAGACCAAAATGTATACAAAATACAGATTAAGAAACAGCACACACACACAAATAGCGGTTAAAATTTCACAAGGCTACTTAAAATCACCTGTTTCTGCAAACAAATATGGGGATTCAGTTCCACCATATGGCCCTATAGTGGAACTGAATCCCCATATTGTTTTGCTGAGAAATGTGATTTTAAAGTAGCCTTGTAAAATTTAAACCTGTATTTTTGTGTGTGTGTGTGTGTTGTTCCTTAATGAATAATGTGACTTTATTGATGACTTTCCAATGAATGAAAACCTATGTGTTTATGTAAACACAACCTTGCGGAGGCTTGTTTCTGAGGATTTCTCCTAAGTAATAGCACATTAATAATTCAGGCTAGCTCATAGACCCTATCCTCAGAGATTGTGAAATATATTTGCTAATATTCCCAAATTCCACTTAATAAGTTGTCTTAATGATTAAATGGTATCCAGTTAATAAAGAGAGCGCAATAAGTAAAATGAGTGTCAGTCTATATAGCCTGCTACAATAAACCAGTTTATATTTCCAAAACATCCCGCCTATCTGGCCAAGATACATTGTTAATAAGAGATGTCACAGGACACTGGACAGAATTTTTACCAGAAAGACCACAAATGGTTGTGTGCAGAATGATGTCTTTAAACGCAGTAAATATTGAAATTGATGTATAGCAACAAAAGACCCTTCCTTTTAAATAAGAACACACAGATGAGAGGATTAGAGATTGGGAAGGGTTATACAGACAGACAAATTAAAAATTCTACTGAAAAACGGTTATTGTTCAGAGCACTAGGCAACATTTGCACTGAATCATAACTTCGGTTTCAAACAGAGGGATATTGTTAGGCACACCAGGTAGAAAGGTCGGTTTCCTAACTGCAGGAGTAGAAAAGTCATATTACCAGACCTAAAAAAAAAAATCACACACAACCTAAAAGGTGGAAATATCATAATCCAAGACTGGCTTAGGTTAGGATGCCACAAGAAAGAATGATTGTAATACATCAAAGTCAATATGGACAACAAAGGATGGTCAAAAAACAAGCAGTGCCGGGTATACACAGAGGTCAACATTAAGTAGTACCTCAGAACACAGTAGCACAACACACTCTGTGGAAAGGAACAATATTTTGGCACTGAAATATGTAAGTGCTGACAATTTATAGCCCTTCCCCCAGGTATATGCAATGTGTTTTTGTAAAACACCTGGGAATACCGATAGCAGCTATCACATATTGATAATCGGAATGATTCAGAAACACATACATTTTTGCTCTTCTATCCCACATTCACAAGGGAATAAGTCATTCAAATTAGGGCGAGTTTTGTGGCCCTGCGAAGGAGTATCATTTTTATATTAGCATTCATATCTAGAGCTCCAGAAACACACATCCTTCCACCCCTAAAATCGACTCCCCCGTACAGGTTGGCTGTTTCTGCCTAGATTTTATTTTCCTATTCACTAGATTTTTTTTGTTCAGTAAATAGCCCCAGGCATTTATATATTTGTGTACGTAATTTTGGCTGCCAGTGGATTACTATTTCAGCCCTAACGTAATTATATTTTGGATGTTATCAATAGGTAGCTCTTTCAGAAGTCTCCAGGAGGCTTTACAGAAAAGTGAGGATTGCAGTATGTTTGGAACTGGCCAAAACCACATCATCAGTGCTCAGCAATGGGATCAACAAAAAGCAATATTCATGGACGTGTTTCAGAAGTACGTCGATTTGGAGAGTCATATTATAACAGATGGGCAATGGTCAAGGTAAGAGTGCTGGATTGAGGCTGGGAGACAGAGAACACACTGTTCAGTTCAAACTCATACAGTAGCTGTATGTACTATCCTTGGATAATCCTATGAAAGCTTTTCAAGATTAGAAAAGACAAAAACAGGATTTACAGTCACTAGAAACCTTGACGTGCTGCAAAATGATACATTGCTGTATATAGAAGGAAGTACACACTGTGTGCAATGCAGCCATTTATTGGCACATGATTTTGTTTCTCTGTACATCCAACTATTAGATTTAAAGTAGAGTCATATTTGGTGCATGTTAACAGTCAGTTTAATTATCAAGTTACTGCTATAGTGTTTACATACAGAGTTATTCACCAAAGAGAGAATTATCACATATTCAAAGTGAATTTCAATTTTAATGCCAAAATATCCAAAGTGAAAGCATGGCTTCCAGTTCAGCAATTTTGCCTTAAATTTAAAATTCACTTTGAAATTCCCACTTTGATGAATAACCCTATAAACTATCAGCATCGATCCACTTGTTCAAAATGATATGTCTTGCAGTAGTTTCTCTATGGCTACATTGCAAAGGGTAACTATTAAGAAGGGCTAGACGGTCCTAAATTTGTGCCAAAATCTTGCTTTCATTTCATTCTTTAATTTTTTTTTTCTCTTTTAATGGAACCCCAAATTATTGTTGTGTTAACAGAGCTTCACAATTCCATAAGACAATAATCTGTCTTTCAGCTACAAGGAATGTGTTTCAAATTAGTTTTTGTGACCTGTGAAACTTTGATATGGTAAATTACAATTTCACTTACATTAATATTTGACAGTAGGAAATGAAATAACCTAAAATGTCACTAGCTCTGCCCCTGTCCTACACTTCCAGCCTCACCCCCTAAAATAAAGGTGTCCCTCTTTAGTCATTTGAAATTCTGAGATGCATGCTAATGGTATTTCAGTAAATAATATGTTTGAATTTGAGCCTACCTAAGCTGTCACTTTATGGACTCCATTTCCCATCAGCCTTTGATATGATATGATTGACAGGATGTGAGAGTCGCAGTATAGTATTTTTAAAAAAATGATTTAATGGAATACTTGGTGTTCTCATTTGTATTAGTATCAATTTGTTAAATCTACATGTTTCTTTATTTCCTTCATGATTCAGTTTTGTTCAACATTTGTCATCAGATTATTGTTTTATCTCGTTTACTGTACAGGCATGTATCATTTCATTTCGTCCAGTCCAATAAAATATTACTCGGAGAGTTAGACAGGATCCCGGGAGGTATGAGCATGTAATTGGTGGTGTTAATGTTTTATTTTCTGGTTTTGTCTAAGTGTAATGCTATATTGTATGCCCTTACCAAAGTCCTGTCAAATTAAATGCCAGGGATGGCTACACGTTGCAGTTTATGAAATCAACTTTGTGAGCTCAGCCAGTGCAAAGGAACATTTCAACCACCATACCAACTTATCTTTATTGCATAGGTCAATGGTGAAAAGAGGTCTCCTGTTACCTGCACTATTTCTTATAACTGCAGACATTTTAAAAATATTGCATTTCCCCTCAATCTCTGCCTCCCTTGGAAAACTCATCAGCTCCTTTAGATTCCATTATCATTTACATGCAGATGACACGCAAATCTACCTGTCCTCTCCTGATCTCTCTCTGCCCATTTGACTTGTGTCTCTGACTGCCTCTCCGCGATTTCCAACTGGATGGCTGCTCACTTCCATAAATTCAACCTGTCCAAAACAGAACTTCTGGTCTTTCCTCCCTCAAGTGTTGCTACTCCCGTGTCTGTCTCCTTCCAAGTCAACGGCGCCACCATCACCTCTACCTCGCAGGCTCGCTGCCTATGTGCTCTCTTTGACTCAGACCTCTCCTTCACCCCTCATGTCCAGTCGATCGCCAAATCCTGTCGCTTCCATCTCAAAACATAGCTCGCATCTGCCCCTATTAACACCAGACACGACTAAGGTGCTGGTCCGCGCTGTTGTTCTTTCTCGCCTTGACTACTGCAATCCCCTTCTTAGTGGTCTTACGTGTTCCCAGATTGCACTGCTGCAATCTATAATGAATGCAGCGTTGAGGCTCATTTTCCTGTCCACCCGCACCTCCCACGCCTCCTTATTCTGTTATATTTCACATGACATTTTCTCAGTGTTGCATGTTTTAAAAGAGTGGTGTAGGTACATGATATCAAGGGTACACATTTACATTGTTCTCCACTAGATGGTGTTATTGTAAAATCTAGATAAATGTACAATTGCTAATTTCAGTGACTGCATATTCTCTTTTCCTTTTCTTAGTGATGCCTAATGCCGTGAGTGTGCACTGGAATGATTGCCATAATCTCTATTTCTACCTCCTCGGAGCACCTTCTAAGGATAAGTCAGGTAATAGATCTAATCGAACCACAGGAATAGATCAATTTAGAGTCTACACATCATTGCTACTTTTTGGGGGACCATTAATGAATTCTGCAGACAGGCAGGGTTTAGCATACATTTGAAATCAATTAATTAATCAATGCAGTTCATTTAATTATTCTAGATGTAATTAATGAATTGATTTGTTATTGGGTGCATATTCACTATACTTTCTATCCCTGCTTCACATTAAAAAAGGAATTTACAAGTTTACCAAAATTAAGTATTGTCTTTGCTTTACTCACCTGTTTACAGAGGAGGCAGTATGCATTTGAGGTCTCTTTTATGGGATTGGTAGTTTTGTAACTCATTTCTAATCAAATAGAACAAAGCAAAATCCACACTAACCAAAGCTACAGACTATAGATATATATTAACAATAAAAACAATCTTATGTCTCTAAATGCCAGAACAAAAGGGTCTTAGTAAATTGTTGGAAATCTAGGAATCCCTAATATAATTTATCATAATAATGGTTCCCTAAACTTAAAAAAAGATCTTTCCGTTATAGACTTCATGGGTATCAATATTGAAGTTGTGTATATGTTGATCCAGTAACGACTAGTAGATGCAGCATTTTCAACAAATAAATAAAATGACCTTGTTTTTTGCTTTATTTTTCTTAAAGCACCACTATAGGCACCCAGACCACTTCAGCTTAATGAAGTGGTCCGGGTGCCAGGTCCAGCTAGGGTTAACCCATTCTTTTATAAACATAGCAGTTTCAGAGAATGAATGGGTTAAGCCTTCCCCCAAAGCTTCTAGCGGCTGTCTCATTGACAGCCGCTAGAGGCGCTTGCGTGATTCTCACTGTAAAAAATCACAGTGAGAGCACGCAAGCGTCCATAGGAAAGCATTGATAATGCTTTCCTATGCGACCGGCTGAATTCGCGCGCAGCTTCTGCCGCTCGTGCGCATTCAGCCGACGGGGAGGAGAGGAGGAGGATCGGAGGCAGAGAGCTCCCCGCCCAGCGCTGGAAAAAGGTAAGTTTTTACCCCTTTCCCCCTTCCAGAGCCGGGCGGTAGGGGGACACTGAGGGTGGGGGCACCCTCAGGGCACTATAGTGCCAGGAAAACAAGTATGTTTTCCTGGCACTATAGTGGTCCTTTAATGAACGTTTAAAGTATCCTCATTTGCAGTCGACATATGCTAGTAGTTCTTAACTTGAGAATCAGAACCCACAATCGTGTTCATTCATGTGGCCCCAGGACACTGCTTTAATTAGTTGTTTAATCTAGCAGCAATGCTTTTTCTAGTGCTTTGGGTAACCTTTCAGACACTGGGAAGAGTCTAATGGTGGACCACTTTTTCAGGATTTATTTTGTTATATATTATATTTCCGTGGAAGAATAGGTCACTGAGAACATCTTAACATTGAAGAATGGATCTAAACGCTAATGCCATGAACATAATTTGTGTTCCTCTCCTGAAAGGTTGGGAACAAATGATGTATGCACTGTATGAAGTCACATTCTATTTATCCAAGATCAGTGAAAGATCTGATCATGTAGTGTGTTTATTTCGTTAACAAATGTTTTACAAAGAAAGATACATTTAAGATTTCTCTCATTTTAAAGTATTTCTTGGGGGAGTACATACAAATACAATGTTATACATATAATAGGAGACTTATAGGAATTAATTATGAATACACTGATTTGTATAATGTAGACATGTACAACACAATCATAGATTAACAGCGAGTACAGTTGCTTTTTGACTGAAGGTAGATGGATGCAGATGTTTTTAGGGACTTCAGACTGGTGGCAAATATGATATTTTCTGCAAAGTTATTCCATGTATGTGGCGTTCAATAGAAAGCTGCTTGACTGACCTCTTTTTTGACCATAGGGGATGGGAGCAGCAGGAGTAAGCATACTGCTCAGGTAGTGTGGGAGTTTTCCTGACAAGTGGTTGAGAACCAGTCAAGAAACGTTAAGACTATATATGGTTTAAGTGTTAGCCAATTTAGTCATTTTAGCATGCCATAATGATGAGTAATGTAGTTGCACTGGAGAACAAAGTGACAAATCTTTATTTAGACATTTATTATGTCCACAGAGTCCATCAGGATTTTCCATAAATGGCAAATTGTCATGAATTTATTCTCCCCCCCCCCCTACTGCTGTTAGCTTATGACAGGGGTGGCATTTTTCACCCCTGTCAAAGTGCCATCTGGAGCCACAGTCCACAGGACTAATGTATAGGCTGGCCCTGCTGCCTGGGCTCAAGCAGAATAGCGCATGAAAAAGGGGATTGCTAAAATTCCCAGATCTTTTGTATGCCATAATTGGAGGATACTTAAAGAGATCACCCAATCTAGGATCTGAATTAAGAATGAACCATTGCTTCTGAATCAAGCATCTAAACTGTTATGACTGTCTCTGAAAAGTTAATAACCAGGGGGATTCTCCCAACATCTCCTACCTTCCTATTAGTCCTCAGTGCAGTTTGTGCTAAATATGATTTTATTGACATGAAAGAACAGAGCTCAATGAACAGAAATAACAAACTGCAGTAATTGTTATACATACAAATTACAGATTAGGGAACGGCGTTATACATACATCATGAAAAGGGCTAGCAGTACAGCATGAAACCAATGTTTACTTCTTTGCCCTGTTACAAAAGATGAGAGCAGAAGACTACGTGAACCTATAATTAGACTGCAGAACGCAATAAAATCATAATACAGAAAGCAAGATGCTGGTGGAAAATATAAGAAAAAGAAAACCATGAATAAAGCTGTAATACACTGCCAAGCAATAAATTGTAAATATAAGAGACCAAGAGGAATGGACCGACTGGTATATGTGGGGCCTTGCATACATTGTGGGTGACTAATACATTTGCCATAAATTAAAAAGTCTGAATTAAAAAGAACTTGTTGCTCAGGAGTCCAGAAGACATGTCTTGTTAGATCCAATCTGAGTATTTATCATTTGAACCTCAGAAAAGAAAGTAAAAAATCTAGTTAGCGCCAGATATAGCATTAAATGGATGAGGGAGTATATCAAGGCGAGGAATGATGCATAAATTCCATAGCAATTCTCAGTAGCTCATTGTACAGTGCGGATAAAAAAAATTCTATACCAGCCCCATAATGTGCAGATATAGAGGCGGATAAAAAAAAACAAAAAAAAAACACCTTGAAATTGAAAACTTAAAACTATAACTCAAAATGTAAAAGAAAGCACTCATAGGGCTTCAAAATAAACAAAAGAACAATTTTTTTAAGGAGATGTGCATTTGCATATAGTCAATGTTTCAGTCCAACTACCATGACATATTAAGAAAAGTTTGGTAATGGGACTGAAATGGTGAATGTATGCTTTATTGTCACAAAAAAATGACATTATCTTGTTGATTTTGAAGTCCTATCAGTGTGCTCTTCACTTTTGCTGAGATAATCAAACTTGATGATCTCAGCCAATCAAAATCAAAAAGGGAAATACAGGTCATTGAAAAATTGGCTAGGCACCGAGTCCACAGTCCGGTGAGCCACCACAACCCATAGAGATGAGCACTACCTCAACAGGCCCCACATCAATTTCCCACCTGACAAAGCTTAATTGTATGCTGGCAGGACTTGCTGAGTCTCTCCTAGGCTCCTCAAGCAGCCCAACAACATAATCGAGGTCCCAAAGCTGGAACAGGCCACAAATCCTGCCATTTCCACTTTAAAAATATTGCAGTATCTGCCCCTTTCTTACACAAGATGCTGCTAAGGAGCTTGTGAATGTTCTAGCAATCCCTCACATTGATTAGTGTAATTCTCTCCTATTGGTCTCCCCAGTAACTGCACTGCCTCTCTACAGTCTGATTTTTCTCTGCCCTTTCACTTGTCACCCCTCTGTCAATCCTTACATTGGCTTCCGGTACCCTATAGGAGTCATTTCAAAATACTAACCTTACCTATAAAGCTTTAAACTAGGGATGTGTATGATCCAAAAATTTGGTACGGTCCGGAAATTCGGGTAAGAAACAAAATTCGGCACTTCGGCAATTCTGAAAATCTGTAGGGCTCCCTAAGCCTACCCCTAACCCTGCCTTAACCCTAGCCCTAACCCTACCCTACTCTAACTCTACCCTAACCTTAACCCTACCCTAAGCCAACTCTACCCTAACCTTAATCCTACCCTAAGCCAACTCTACCTGAACCCTAACCCTAAGCCAACCTTACCCTAACCCAACCTTAACCCTAATCTGTGGTGGCCCCTAACCCTACTCTAACCCTACCTTAACCCTAAGCCAACCCTAACCTAACCCTACTATAACCCTAATCTGTGGGGCTCCCTAACCCTGACTTAACCCTACCCTAACCCTACCCCAAGCCATCCCTAACCTAACCCTACCTTAACCAAACCCTAACCTAACCCTACCCCTACCTTAACCCTAATATGTGGGGCCCCCTAACTCTACCTTAACCCTACTTTAACCTTAACCCTAGGCCAGCCCTATCCCTACCTTAACCCTAATCTCTGGGGCTCCCTAACCCTACCTTAACCCTACCCTAACCCACCCCTACCCTAACTTAACACTAACCCTACCTTAACCCTAACTTTACCATAACCCTAAGCTAACCCTAACCCTACCTTAACCCTAATCTGTGGGGCACCCTAACCCTACCTTAACCTTAACCCTAAGCCAACCATAACCCTAACCTAACCCTACCTTAACCCTAATCTGTGGGGCTCCTTAACCCTACCTTAGCCCTACCCTAACCCACCCCTACCATAACCCTAACTTAACCCAACCCTACCGTAACCTAACCCGACCTTAACCCTAATCTGTGGGGCTTCCCAACCCTACCTTAACCCTAACCCACCCCTACCCTAACCTTAACTTAACCCAACCCTACCCTAACTTAACCTAACCCTACCCCTTAAGCCTAACTATACCGTAACCCTAAGCCTACCCTTCCCTAACCCTACCTTAACCCTAAGCCAACCCTAACCCTACTAATAACCAAAGAAAAAAAAGTTACCTGCGCTCTCTCCTTAATCCCTATGTATATTTAAACAAATGGAGGTCATTTAGTTACTTCAATGGCCACTGGAGGGAATGCCCGCCTGCCTGCCAACGTCAAGGCAGACCCCCCTAGACTGGTCCTACTCTGACCCTTTCCCTTGCTTCCTTGAGCTTCTGGCAAAAATATCTAATGAGACAGAAAGGGGTATTTTTTTTATATACTCCCCTATATACTTGTTAACCCTTAATAGGGAACACATGGGATGGGCGGCAGCATTGTAACCTAGCTGTGTGATACAAAAAGTAATACAAATGCAAAAAGAGAAGTCCTGCGCCCACTCCCATCATTCCTGGGCAGCAGCAATGACCACAGTACACATTAGCTAATACATATAGTAAAAACCAAATTTCCCTTTGACAAGGGAAGTTTTATTCTGTAATCCACATTAAATGTCAGCTGCCACAACTCCGACCATTTGTCTAATTTACCCTAATCATTTGTCATTCAGCTTATCCCTCCTGAAATATCAACCCTGTTGCAAATCTTAGTATCATCAGCAAAAAGACATACCTTACCAACAAGACCTTCTGCAATATCACTAATAAAAATATTAAAGAGAATGGGCCAAAGTACAGATCCCTGAGGTACCCCACTGGTAACAATTGCTTTGAATGTACGCCATTGACTATGGAGCATATAACTTAACACAGACAAGTACTTGATTTGTGGGTGCAAAGAATTGGAGATGAAAATTTAAATTGCAACATACAAATACACATCCAAAGCAAAAATAAAAATGATCTTTATTAAACACAAACAATACAAATGTATCACTAGGGGTCAATATACATCCCAATTGCAAATCCACACAGGTAAGTAATGTTAATATGTACAAATGCTTCTTACATGTTTCACAGTAAGATATGCTTACCATCAGAATACAAAATTGTGTGAAATCACCCCATACAGTGCAAAACGAACAAAAAACACACATCTGTAATGAGTGTTACCTTCTAATAGGGTCTGACAGGAAAATTATATCAGAAACCACCAAACGTTTCGGCTGAACAAGCCTTTGTCATTAATAACTCAGATGTACTAGTACTACACATAGGAAGGTCCAAATGGAAAAAGGCAGTAAACCCGACATAAACCCTACATGTCAGGATCGGCCATAGTAAAAAAAAAAAACATAGGCCCAAACAAAATCAAATCTTGCGGCGTAAACCAGCAACCTGTTTCCATAGCAACTGAGTGCCATTCGTATGTGCCCCGTGCCCGGCCACACTTTTAAAACTTATTTAAGTATAGGAAAACTACTTTTTTTTCCAGCTGGTTTTGCGTATTACTAATTTGTATGAATTTGTATATAGACTGTATACTGACCCCTAATGATATATGAACTGATTGCACGTAATAAAGATCATTCTTATTGTTGCTATTGATGTGCATTTGGGATTATTTGTATAATGTAGTATTACTTCTGGAGCACTAGGGGAAGGGGTCTGTCCCTAATTCTTTGCACTCACTAATTTGGCATTTGTCTGTATTAAGTTGTGTTCGTCTACATTGACTAATTAAAGTTACAGTTAATTTAATTACAGTTACATTTAATCATAATGTTTTCTTGAGGATTGCTTAGTTAAATGGGCACCTGTCATGCGCATAACAACTTGTGCTCTTCACGTTCTTGCTGACAATGAGGCCAGTGTGTCTGCATCGCTCAGGAAGTTTGCCCTGCTTAGGAAAAACTCCCCAAGCAGGACAAGTCAATAAACACCTTGGGGGGAACGAGGGCAGACCTAGGTTGGTGTTACAGAATTGTAACCCCCACCTCTATAAGGAAAATGTGGAGCTCAATTAGAGGGTAAGGTAAGTGCCTGATAGATTCGCAATAGATTTGAAAATGTTATGCTAGTATTTAAAGAATGCTTATTTTTAGCAATCTATCTTTCAACCACTGAGAAAACATCCTGTAACAAAGCCTCATGTTGTGAAAAATTTGATTTAATTGCATAGATGATGGTGTTCTGTAACTTTACTCAAAATTCACATTTCGCACAGTCACACTGAGGGATTGACCAACTCCTATCAGTAATGCTATGGGAAGACAATAGCCAAAAAAACAAAACATATTTTATTAATTCACCTAAATGTTATCTGCACATGGCCATATAACACATTGTAAACAACACAATACATAACATGTATTGATCCGTTCCATTTATAGCTCAGAAATTATTGTCCTAACAGCTCTTGTTATACCTTTCAGATATCGAACCAAAACCTGATCTTGTTTGGCCCTGTGCCGCTGCCATCACTTGTTCAGCAGTGAGCTCATGTTTTTACTTAGCACTTGGACTGCAAGATGGGACTCTTACTATATGGGACATGAAATATTCTGGTGAGATTTATTCAGACTTTAAGTTGACACAGTACAGTAGATGTGTGAGTGTGAGTGTGTTGTAATAAATCAAGAATCGCATTGAAACGATAAAAAAGGTACAATGTGTGTGAACCCTTTCTTTCCTTACACAGGTTTCCCATTAGCAGTTGTTGATCTTCCAGAAGGAAAGTGTATAGATAGCCTGTATTTCCTAGAATGCCATACTGCTAATAGAGACTCTCCACCTACACCCAGAGCTCAGCTTCTGGTGTGGTGCACAGACAAATCCCTGTATCTCTTGACCGGTGCAGAAGGCACAGAAAGCAACATTGTTCTGATACGGGAAAGGTGAGTCTTGATGATACTTGGTAGTATTATATTCTTACTTTTAAATGTCCTGGAATAATTTCTAAGCCTACTGAACTATATTATTGGTAACAAGGTAGCACAGTAAATCAGGGGTTTTGAAGCTTTCTTCAAAGGCAATCACATGGTCTAGATAGAAGTTAGGGATCACTAATACTGTTCTAGTGGGCATGATGAGAAAACAGGTGATGAGAAGCATTTCAGTGAAAAATAAAGAATGACATTATTTTAGATTCAGAGTTCTGTAAAATAAAAATTAGTACTTTGTATACCAGCTTGAAATATATTTTGTAGAATGCAAAACAACCTGGACCTATAATGGCTTAATGTGCATTTAGAGAGTAGTAACTATATATAATTTATATATTTTGTATAAAATTTCATACATACACTGTTTTTTCATAAAGATAGCATTGTTTTGGAAAAACGTGTATATGCTGCTGTAAAGGATTCTCCTATACTCACCTGTGTTTCTTCGGTTATATCCTCTCCCTGCTGTTGAACTAATTTTGGATGGTTCGTTTAACTCCCAGAAAAAGGATTTACACTTTTAAATTGGCACTTCGAATGCAGTCGAAGTGGCCGCAATTCGAAAATCGAACACATGGCGGCGGCCATTTTAATTTAGTCGAACGCGGTCAGCGGTGCGTGCCACTGAATCTATGGAACTAAAAGCGGCTATGCATTTGCACGAACACCGCAGACTCTTACCTTCTCAGGAACTTCGACACTTCGGCTGGAATCGAAGTGCGTTTGACAATTCGAACACACTGTTCGAATGGGACTTAGACATTTTTCTGGGTGAAATTGACCGACCGCACAGCCCAAATCTATGGAACTGTTTTGGGCAGGAAAATGTGCTTGCGGTCGGTCATAAAGGACTTCCGTCTAACGTTTGATCTACTGGATGGATTTGTCTGATTTTTGGGTATGTTGCTCACATCACCCTCAGCTACACAGGGATATGTTTATGTTGATACGTTATGTAGAAAGTATATTTTCAATAATTGTAAAAAAATTTAACTTTTCTGGCCATTAGATAATTGAGTTTGATAAGTGCTCAAACCCAATTATCTAGCCTGGCCCAGAGGAGGAGTTATGTATTGTATACACTGAATGCCTGTTGCTTCCAGTAAATCAGTCTTGTTCCAGCATTAAACATTTGCTCATGTGTGGATTATTTGGCGATACCAGCGATATTTATTCCTGTGGATTACTTGGTGATTTTCTTTTATGGAAAGAAGGGAATGCTTGACGGTGATACAGACGGTGATACTAACGTCACAGCTGCATTGGAATTTCAATTAATTTCAATGAAATTCCAACACAATCAAAAATATATCATATGACAAAGTAGGGACTCCCATCCCCCACAAGCGCCAACATGTAAGCAAGTATGTCTATTGTAAAAAATGCAAAGACCCACATGTGATAGTGCTACTTACAACTTTCTCAATTGTTTAAAAGGAGGTGAGGTTTTACCCCAGAGTGCTATTGACAGAACCTGTTCATCTGGCCACTTCCTCCTCCGGACCCTGCTTCAATGCAGAAGTGATTGCTAAAGCGCCAGTGAGTAGCAGAGACTGTCAGCTGATGCTCACCAGTTCCCATTTAAAAGTTTCCACAATGAAGCAGACACCATAGGAGGTGGCAGAGTGGCCAGGACCATCAAGAAACGTCAGGTGCCCACACAACAGGTTAATAACATACATGTCACCTATTTTCAGACCTATAAAAACAGGGACAAACACACAGGTCATATATCACCAACATGGATCTAATTTGTTTGGCATTAACCTAGCATTCATAGCATATTTTTCATAATAAAAAAGTGAAGCATGGTTGTATGTCAATAATGATCTCTAACTGCATCATTACCAGTATAAAATGGTAAAGATATTTTTGGGTTGTGATTCTATTGAAAACAAACATAAAATACCTACCAAAGTTTACAAACTGCAATCAAAAACAAATGCAAGACTGAGGCCACAATCAGAATACAACATAATAAAATTGTAGAAAAAGTTTATTATTGAAATTTTATAATAAAATATATATCTAGAAATGGATTTAATTTTCTTGTACCTTAACATCGTATCTTAGTGATTTTCTTAACAAACTCTTATTTTATCCATTTATTTCTTAAAGCTCCATTAATTCTGACACCCAGATTAGCGCCGTGATGCCAGTTCAATCCCTGCCTAATGCAGTAAGTCCTCTGCAATTTTATCTAAATAATTTGTTATTGATCAAGATGTCTAACATTGATTCACAAAATCTATAAATGTAAATAACATTTTTATTGCTCCCTCCATTTACATAGGTACTTTTGTTTTATCGCAGCGGTATCGTAGAACTGATGGATATTTCACTGAAAGAAGCAGTTTGTCAATTCTCTTTACCATTCTCCCACTGGGTGGCATTTCCTTGGCAACCTGTGTATGCATTTGATTCGGAGAACCTCTTCCTTTTTCTTAAAGGTGGGACACATTGATATTATTCAACTCCTGTCTACTCAGACACCTCTCATTCACGTCATAACACATAAATGTTACATAGTTACATAGACTTGCGTCTATCAAGATGAGCCTTTCTCGCATATGTTTCTGCTGTTGATCCAAAATAAAGAAAAACACAGTTTGAAGTGCCTTACATTTTGCAACAAACTAGGAATAAATTCCTTCTCCACTTCTCCTTTAATGACAAATGAGACAAAGTATTACAGATTTTGTCAGAAACAATAGGCTGATTAGGACCCTACTCAAACGAACTTACAATCTAGAGGATCTAGAGGTGCGGTATAAAAAAAACACAACAGTGAGGACAGCACAAGGAATAGGAGTCAAGTAACATGGTGGAAAAGTAGCAGACCCACTTATTAGGTCAAGAGAATAATGGCAGTTATCCTTGGAGTCCATAGGTTATTCTGAGTTGGTGTGTTTCTAGTGAGATTTTAAAGGTTTGGATACTAGGAGACTTGATTGTGAGTCTAATAGGTGGAGACAGGCTGTTCTATAACAGTGAACCTGCCCGCGAGAAGTTGTGCTAGCAAGAGTTGGCACTATAGGTACAAGCAGCAGACAGTAGAAAGTAACCAGTAGAGCACAGTGGCTGTGAAGGGGCATAGCTATGAATTAGTTCAGAAATGTAGCAGAAGTTTTTGAGAGCTCTGTAGGTAAGAGTTAATATTTTGAATTGAATCCTATAGGGCACAGGAAGCCAATGTAATTGTTTGACATAGGGCTGACGTATGAGAGGAGCAGCGAGAGCAAAAATAAGCCTGGTGGCAGCATTCATTAAGGACTGTAGGGAGGCATTAGGAGACAATTACAGTAGTCAATGTGAGAAATTACAAGAGAATGAACCAGCTCTTTAGTAGCATCTTGTGTAAGAAAGAGGCTTATGTGGGGAAGGTTTTTAAAGGGAATTGGCAGGATTTGGTGACAGACTGGATATTAGACCTAAAAGTAAGGCGAGATAGGAAGCTCAGTTTTACACAGGTTGAGGTTTAGAAAGTTGGAGAACCTCCATTCGGAGATGGAATAGAGGCAACCAGAGACTAGTTCTAAGACAGCGGGGGAGAGGTCAGGGGAGGAGAAATATATCTGGGTGCCATGCAGTTGGTAGCGGAATCCAAAATAATTAATAGGTTTACCAAGAGAGACAGTAGAGAGAGAACAGAGAGTGTGTAGAGAGAACAGTATTGTTGGGAGAGATACAACAAAACTCAAGAAAGGGCTGTGTCATGAAGGCCATGGGTGGGAAGAGTTTGGTGAAGTAGAGCACGATCAACAAGATCAAATAGAGCAGGGAGGTCTAGAAGAATTAGTATGGGGTACAGGCCTTTGGATTTAGCAACAATTAGGTCATTAGTTTCTTTAGTCAATGCAGTGTCAGTAGAAAGGTGGGGGGTATGGTTATGGAAGGAGTTTAAATTGTGAAAGCGCGTCAGATGATTATGAATATGTCGTTCCAGAAGCTTTGAGGAGAATTCTCTGATGCTGCCCCCTAAGAATCTTCCCAGCATTCCCTGCCAATGGGACCACATGGGTTTTGGCCAGCTGCAATGAGTGCCTATATTCACCCAGCAGGTCCATAGAGTAATGTACCGCAGAGACAATATACACTCACTGAGATTCCTTTCAGGACAGAGGACAGTCCATCCCACAAGAGCAATCAATATAGTAGAAAATAAGGAACTTTCAGATAAAATAATTATAAATTAAAAGAAGCAGTGTTTATATCACCCCTTAGGGCAATAAAAAAGTGCAAAAACTGCAAAGTAGAGGACAAAACAAAGCAACTGGGCTTTTAATATTATATTTGCATACCCCTATAGTAAACAAATATCTATTTGTGAGATGTCAAAAATAAAATTTAATGTAGACATCCACACCCAGCAGTCAGCAGAGAGAAAGCAGACAAGGAACACAAAAAGATGTTTGCCTGGATAGAATTACTGATAGTGACGTTTCCAGCTTTTATCATCACCTCCTAAAGAGTTGACTTGGGATGTTGAGAGGTATGCATGCAGCCATTTCCCTTCCTAATAAGACATCACTGTAGAAGACGCTGATCTTGAGTATTTTCAACAAACCGTGGCATTCACAAACAAGTAATATTTTTATTTGGACTTTTTCATTAGCGTTATACTGCATGAATAAAAGGATGGCAAAAGCAACATGACTTTTCATTAAATTATGAATGAACATATAAGGATTCAATAACATACAACCTGTTTAATCAAATGCAATAAAGGAACGTGATGGATTGGTTTTCTATATTTATTTATCAGTCACATTTGTATTACAGGAAATGAGAAAATGTCCGCAGGGGAGATTATGGCAGAAGGAGTTGAAGCTTGTTCTCTCTTTACATTCAATCTGAACTCTTTGCAGCTATTGGATGCTTTCAAAAAGATGCAACATACTTCACTGTCATTGTCTCAGAACCTACACTGGGAACAAAGGTGTAAAATCGTGTTACAAAATAGGTAAGGTTATTTTTGTTTGGGGTGCAAATAATGGTCTGAAATAAAACACACAAAAAAATCCCTTAGAGGTCACTGTAAAAACAAGAGAATCTTTGAATAATTACAGAGCTTGTGGTGAAAATGGAACAAGGGCAGGTGCAAGAATTTTATCGACCTAGGCAATAATCCAGTTGGCCACGCCACTTGTATAGAGGGTACTGAATGCGTTGTGATGTGTGTGTAGAGTGGTTGTGCAAGTTGAGTATGACGGAAAGCTGTATATGTTGTGTGTGGAGAGGCTGTGCGAGTTGAGTGTGATGGGAAGCTGTATGTGTTGTGTATGGGGAGAGGCTGTGCAAATTAAATGTGATGGTAAACTGTATGTGTTGTGTGTGGGCAGACGGAATTTTTTGTGTGGGAGGCCAGGTTGATGTTGAGTGTGCGCGTGGGCTGACACTGAGTTCTCACACTATACAGACTACTAGGATGGACATCTCTCTCTCCTTTCTTGAAAGAGCTCGAGTTATGACCATAAACAGATCACTCCTGTTAAACCAGGCTGTGAATAGTCTGATAGCAGCTGCAGTATGACTGCTCCCTGTTTACAGAGCAGTTTCACTCATCCAAAGTGATAAGAGACTCTGCCACTGAAGAAACAACTACACATCCCTTAAACTCCTGCTATACAAGGGGGATAAAAAGAATTCTGACACTAGAATGAAAAGCTCCTGTTGGTAGACCTGACCATAGCTAATGAATTGGGCATGGGCACATGTAGTTGAGCACTTGCCTTGAATTCAGTTCATCACATTGATGAATATATGAATTTTTACTTTAGTAAATAAATTAGCTTACTGACAGACCATTGTACTATGTTATCATTGAAACTGTCAGGCAAGATCATTTCTCATGCTTCTTCACTGTAAAGGGGTCCCACCGGTGTGTTAGACATTTATTTAAAGGGCGAATGCTGTCACAATAATTGGATAGACAGAGCAGCAAGCATTCCTGCTCTGACACCTACCCCCAAGAATAAAGGCTTAAATGAGAAACTCTTGCACTGGGTTCTGTACTAATCTTAACGGAACACAGTTTATTAAAGTGCTTTATGTGTCTGTCATATTTTTCATACTTTATGTTCTAAGTGCTGCCGATTTGCATAGAAAGCAGCACTTTTATATTTGGGGGCAGAAACGCCTCCTTGGTTGTCACTAAAAACAGCCAGAGAGGTTTTTTTTTTCTCTTCTCCTTCTGTTAGCTCTAAAGCGTTTGTATTGCAGCTCACTGAGAAGCATTGAAAAGGCACGATTGTACGTGTGGCTCCAGCACAAAGGCTTCTCAGTGAAAAGCCTCTGACTGGCCAATTCCCCTGAATGTCTGTGCTTGGAAAGAGGGTTTGCATAGGCTACAGATAGCAGGTCTGCTGCTTTTTTCAAGCTGTGTTTTTTTTTTCAAAAACCACCAAAGAAGACATGCATATTTTCTTTGGGGATATATCTTCTATATCAACTAAATTGTTGAATAAATCAGACAATCAGTCAGTGTTTCTTTAAATTGGTTCTTTTTGTTCCTTTTACCAGGTTACACAGTTTTCCTGAGAGGAAAAAGAAGATAGCGGAGTGTTGGTCCAAACTGAAAAAACAGGCCTCACCTTTAATATATTGAGTCACCCCAAGCAGATAATATAAATTGACAAAATGTGTGCTGTTTAATAAGTGTGTGCAGTACCTCTCAGTTATCTATACTGTTGATAATGATAATGTATGTTTTAATAAATATATTGGTCACCAACTCAAGACTTCTCTAATTATTCCCATAATACTTTTAAAATAATACGTTTTTCAAATAAAATTTAAAGGAACACTCCAAGCACCATAACCACTACTTGTACCCCCCCCCCCCCATTGTAATGAGTGAAACTGTTTTTGAATATATTAACTTTTTACCTGAAGTCCAACGGACACCCCGCCTTCACTATCGATGCCAAAAACCAGACGTTCCTAAGCAGGAACTCCCAATAGCTCTCCTGAGCTAAACTATGCAGAGCAGCATGGCTCAGCTGATGTTTAGCCAATCAGCTAAGCCCTGCAGTGCTACTTAGAAATCCTTAGCTGTCCGGCATTAGCAGCGGAGGCAGGTGGCACCCAGTAGACCCCAGGTAAGAAGATGTCACCTTACAATGGAGGGCGTCAGAGCAGTGAGCTGTATTGGTTATGTTGCTTGGAGTGTTATTTTAATGGGATCCTGTGCTGATGTGAATTATGTGAAGTTAGTGTAATGCTCAGTTTAGATGAATTGGAATTCATGCTAACAAATAATAGTAAAGAAACAAATGGTATGTGGAGCAAAAATGAAAACAATCTTGGCTGCCTGTGCCGCTGGTGAAATGCCGGTCCCACGGGAATATAAAGCATTCAATTATAAAAAAGACAGAACCCCAGCAATTCTGATGTAATGCTGGTTTCAGTCATCACAGAGAGGCAATGTTTTGACATACTAGGTTTCTTTCCTAAACCATGGCCTTTCTGTCACACCAGGATTGCTAAGTGCTGGGGTTTCTGTTTTTTATATAAAATAATCGTAAAGAATATATAGCATATGTATATTTAAAGCATCTCTTTCACTTTTTAGTATTTTATAGAGATATTCAATCCAAGGATACCACAAGTGGGACTATTTTGTCTTATGGTAAAGCTATGGTGAGCTTGACAAAAGGCAGAGCTCTGCCGTCAACCTTTGCCGTCACAAGTGATGGCTGTGGGATGCAAACATGGTCTCGCTCATCACAAGATGGAGGCTGCAGCGGTCTTGCAAAACCTCCACAGACCTCAGTTGCACGGCATGTTAAATAAAATGAAACGCCAGAATCTGAAGAAAACCACAAGGAAGAGGACACCATGATGACTGAACCCTATCTGAGATGTCACCTTTGGGGGTCATTGCAAAATATGATAAAATGATAAACAGTTCAAGGGTTTGTCTTTGAATGATAATTGCTTGCAATAAGCAAGTTCGTGTTAAGTGATTTCTTCATTCTCCTACATAAAACAAACTAAGAAAATATGTAGATAAACGGAAATCACTGTAAGAATAAGTTACACAACATCAAACATCACAGATGAAATTTTCCTGCGCATCTTGTACTGTATTTACCGTAATGACATAGAGCAACTATGAGTAGCTTTTTGTGGCTGCCGTAACTGCTGCTTGGCTTAAAACAATTCTGCAGCATCACCTTGGCACAGATGTTGGATTAAGGCAGTGTCTGGAATGTGTTAAAGTTCTTGTTGATGTGATTGGTGGTTCAGAGTACTGAGTACATGGGCCGGAATATAGAGTGTTTGCTTGGTTCTGCGGAGTTTGCAGCTGCAGTCCTGCATGTGATATGGATGTGTAATGTGAGAATTCATGCAATTTTTCAATTTTAATTGAAAAGGTTAAATTATGTATTTAAAGGGATACTCAGGGAACAAATAAAGAGGCAGGCTTATGGACCAGCATTCTGCAAAACATGTATCCCTTTAAATAGAAAGAAAAGTGCTTAATCGCAGTGACATCTGAGATGTATATATTATTTAAAGCGTCATTTCAGGTAATTACAGTTGAGTGAGTTTTTACCTTGACCCTAAAAATAAACAAACCAAAAAAAAGAACATTAAAGTATTTTTGATTTATTTTTAAACTTTAATGCATTATTTATTTATCAGAGTTATTTACTGACGTGAGAATTTCATAGTTAAGGTCAGAGTAGCCGAACTGACATTCTAACTTTAAATATGAAATTCACTTTGAATTCACTTTAAATTCTCTCTTAAGTGAATAACCCTGTATGTTGTGACATTTTAACCGTACAATTCTGCTATGCTGATTATTGGTATGAAAAAAGAAAAAAAAAAAAAAGTGGACAATGTTTAAGCTGTGGATAAAGCATGATTTGGATAGATACGTATTGTCAAATCACTCTCATTTGACTCATGGAACGCCCTCTTTTCTAGTAAGTGCTTAGTGCTCCCCATTCCACTAGCAACATAGAGGTGAAGTTAAATTTGAGTTTGGTAGGTGGGGAGAGGGGGAAAATTAAGCACAGAACAATTCTGTATAAAATTATACTATAAAATTGTACTATTGTGATGGAATTCCAGTAAAATACAAGTTTAGCAGGCCAAGATTGCCACAAGGCATATGTAGGTACATGTGTTTGTAGTATCAGTTAGTTAGTTACACGTAGCTAAGATACTGTCATCACTGTACTGAGCATGTGCAGGAATGCCACGTGGTTAGACCGGATGGATGAGTTTAGACTCTATTCATTGATTAGGTTAAGGGTATGTGTGGGCGTAGCTAATTATGGGAAGAGCTACAGTGCTATATAAGGAATGTACTCTATGTATTCAGTACTCAGATCTTTGCTGTTTTTGGTGACATAAGTCCCTCTGAGTCCCGGTCGGTGAATCGAATAAAGATCTCTTCCTTCCTGAAGAAACCTGTGTCCATCTCTCTGTGCTTGGCCTCCGTCAGTTTCCCGGTAACATCTTTGGTGCATTGGCCGGGAAGCTCGTCGTTAACGGTGGCTAGGAAGCAGAGGCGTGAGACGGTCTATCTTTGCCCACGTTCTCTACGGCTGCACCCCCTGAACTTCTGCGTGGACCTCCCATCGTCTCGGCGCCACTGGTTTGTTGTCCAGGAGATCATCGGCCTCTACGTAGTAAGTACTGGGGTGTCCCTGTCGATGAGTGTGAACTCAGGTTCAGGAACGAGGAGGTAAGACGACTACTGTTTTAGACGGTGGACCCACTAGGGGTATTGGATACCGATTGTGCGGTAGGCCCATAAGGGGTTTGAATTGGAATTGTGAATGGAATTGGCCCCCTCCAGGGAGGGAAGGAGCGAAGGCGCACCGCTCATAATTAGACGCCCTGTAGTCAGCCCGTCTAATCTTGGTATGGAGTCAGGCTGGGTCTTGGTTGAATGTATACAGGGAGTGCAGAATTATTAGGCAAATGAGTATTTTGACCACATCATCCTCTTTATGCATGTTGTCTTACTCCAAGCTGTATAGGCTCGAAAGCCTACTACCAATTAAGCATATTAGGTGATGTGCATCTCTGTAATGAGAAGGTGTTTGGTCTAATGACATCAACACCCTATATCAGGTGTGTATAATTATTAGGCAACTTCCTTTCCTTTGGCAAAATGGGTCAAAAGAAGGACTTGACAGGCTCAGAAAAGTCAAAATAGTGAGATATCTTGCAGAGGGATGCAGCACTCTTAAAATTGCAAAGCTTCTGAAGCGTGATCATCGAACAATCAAGCGTTTCATTCAAAATAGTCAACAGGGTCGCAAGAAGCGTGTGGAAAAACCAAGGCGCAAAATAACTGCCCATGAACTGAGAAAAGTCAAGCGTGCAGCTGCCACGATGCCACTTGCCAGTTTGGCCATATTTCAGAGCTGCAACATCACTGGAGTGCCCAAAAGCACAAGGTGTGCAATACTCAGAGACATGGCCAAGGTAAGAAAGGCTGAAAGATGACCACCACTGAACAAGACACGCAAGCTGAAACGTCAAGACTGGGCCAAGAAATATCTCAAGACTGATTTTTCTAAGGTTTTATGGACTGATGAAATGAAAGTGAGTCTTGATGGGCCAGATGGATGGGCCCGTGGCTGGATTGGTAAAGGGCAGAGAGCTCCAGTCCGACTCAGACGCCAGCAAGGTGGAGGTGGAGTACTGGTTTGGGCTGGTATCATCAAAGATGAGCTTGTGGGGCCTTTTCGGGTTGAGGATGGAGTAAAGCTCAACTCCCAGTCCTACTGCCAGTTCCTGGAAGACACCTTCTTCAAGCAGTGGTACAGGAAGAAGTCTGCATCCTTCAAGAAAAACATGATTTTCATGCAGGACAATGCTCCATCACACGCGTCCAAGTACTCCACAGCGTGGCTGGCAAGAAAGGGTATAAAAGAAGAAAATCTAATGACATGGCCTCCTTGTTCACCTGATCTGAACCCCATTGAGAACCTGTGGTCCATCATCAAATGTGAGATTTACAAGGAGGGAAAACAGTACACCTCTCTGAACAGTGTCTGGGAGGCTGTGGTTGCTGCTGCACGCAATATTGATGGTGAACAGATCAAAACACTGACAGAATCCATGGATGGCAGGTTTTGAGTGTCCTTGCAAAGAAAGGTGGCTATATTGGTCACTGATTTGTTTTTGTTTTGTTTTTGAATGTCAGAAATGTATATTTGTGAATGCTGAGATGTTATATTGGTTTCACTGGTAATAATAAATAATTGAAATGGGTATATATTTGTTTTTTGTTAAGTTGCCTAATAATTATGCACAGTAATAGTCACCTGCACACACAGATATCCCCCTAACATAGCTAAAACTAAAAACAAACTAAAAACTACTTCCAAAAATATTCAGCTTTGATATTAATGAGGTTTTTGGGTTCATTGAGAACATGGTTGTTGTTCAATAATAAAATTAATCCTCAAAAATACAACTTGCCTAATAATTCTGCACTCCCTGTATAGCCCAAGCTGGACACCGGTGTCTTGTCTAGACTAGCGTATCTAGGGTGTACATTTCGTTCGCTAGGTCGGAGGGACCGGGAGACTAAGCAGACTCTGGTGTACATTATCGTTTGCTAGTTCTCAACCT